GCTTTACGTATCAACGGAATCAAGTAGAGAGAAACTTTGGGTTGGATTATTTTGGCATTCCATGAGAAATTAGTATCATTCATTCATCGCTGTGGGGTGGGAGCTTCGTCCATCACCTCTCGGAAAAGTTGATTGGTGCGGTGGAATATTTCAGGTTTGTCTCATGCTTTCTAGCATTTTTTCCGAGACGCGTTACGGCTGATATACTACAATTTCCGTAGTTTTTTCGACAGGCACAAATGGTTTGTAATTTATAGGTTAATGGTTTCCTGATGTATGATGTTTATGCTCGATGTTTATCGTCGTTCTTTTTGTTTCTTGCACTCTGCTGATTTTCGGAAGCTTGACGGAGCTTTCAGAATTTTTTTCTCTTTGTCCCCCGGTTAACTATTATTTTGGCTCTGTTGACTATTGAGTAAGTGCTCTTAGTAATTTTTTCCCTCAGCTGATGAGCGAAATATGCAGGCTCTACCGTGTGCATTTTCGAGTTTTAGTTACTGGATTTGCTAGACATAGGAGGTAACGCAATTAACCTATTAGTGATGCATACACCTTTGTATAACCAGGCTCGTAGGAGTATTACTGCTACTATTTTTATAAATAGTACTTTTAGCATGGTTATTGTTACCACTGTTATTATTGCTATTATTACTACGGATAATAATAATGAGCAGTTTTCTTCCGTTTTATCTTTTAAACATGCATACATAAAATATCCTCCAGCGAAGACTCACCAGCATATCCTGGACGACATTTACAAATGTATTCATTGATTCCATCAATGCACGAGGCGCCGTTTTCGCAGCGATTGTACAAACAATCATCCACATTGGTGTGGCATGTCTTGCCGGTCCAGCCTTTTGTGCATTCACATCTTTTTATTCAAACAGAAAATGGTTACTTACAAAAACGAATAGTAGTCAAACCTGTATTTGTTTTCTGGCAGAGCAATACATTTTCCGCCATTGAGGCACGGATTCAGGTCCTTGCAGTAGATTAATGCATACTGACATTGTTCCCCTAGTGAGTGAAGAAAAAGGAACCGGTCACAAAAATTGGTGGGGATTTTAAGGTCCTGATAATTTTCTTAACTACATAATTTATCACAAAGTAATTATGTGATTTAGAAGTTTAAATCATTATTTCTGTAGATTGTGCAAATTGAAAAGCATCAGATGATACCGGGGTTACCATTCCTTTGAATGAGGAAGTTGACTGTTTGTGTTAGTGCTTTTTTATTGATTAATTATTGACAATAGTTATTTTTACTTATTCCCTAAATCCGTGTCCGTGTCATTGATGAACTACCCGAAAACCTGATGAATACGAGAAGTTCTGCAGTATGCCAACTTCAACAGACTAATGATATAAGCTTTGTAACCCCCCAGCCGATAACCGCAAAAGAGACAATAAAGCAACTAAGGCTAATCGATTATTTTATTATTTCTGTGGCACACTTGGAACAGTAGATAGAGAGCACCTTGTGGTCATGAAGGATAAAGGAATGGTTCTGTAAATCGTCAGGCCAAATCTTGAGGGTGGGGAAGAAGGTACACCGGGAGCTGCATGGGATGGACGTGGCATTGATTCGCGCAAAAGAGAAGCTGCCTACTACAATTATGATTCCAAAAAGCGGTGCTGATCGAGGACAACTGTTTACTGAGGGTTGCTGATGGGATATCAGCAATTTGCCATACATAGCACAAAACATCTCATCAGAAACATACCATAGCCATTCCTGGCGGCACGTCGAATAATTCATAGGGCAGTCGATATTTATCCTTTCAGATATATCACTTGGCTCTCGGTGGTCTTGTTATATTTTTGATCATTGAGAGTTACCTATTACTCATAAGTGAGTAGTATCTCACAACATAATATAATCGGCAAACCGAGGAACGGAATTAATTCCTCACTACATAGCCCAAATACTGAGTGTCAAGTGAGTGTCCAAAGATCAAACGAAATCCCGCGAATAGTACCTGTTTACTCAAACCTGATACTTATGTGCTTGGTAAATGTTAATCATGTATTTAGCTCGATCCATTCGATCTAATGCAATAAGTGCTATGACGTTGGTTCGCATTCATCGGAGACAGAACAAGTAAGAGAGGGAGAGAAGTAAGGGAGGGGTACGAGAGAGAAATTCACTCACCATGAAATCCGGGCGCACAGTGACATCGATATTCGTTATTCACAATCTCACATGTGCCACCATTCTCACAATATTTATGTGAACAGAACTTTACCGGCTGTTCACAACGCTCACCTTGAAAACCTTTAGGGCAGGTACATCTGCAAAACAGAGGAGCAACATACAATAAAACAAATTATTCGATCAGTTTGGTGGAGTGACTTAAAGTGACCCACAGTTAGTGCGAATTGGCATCTTCGAGTGTGCAATACAGCACAGGGAGGGTGAAAAGGAGGCTGAACTCGCGCAAATGTTTGGACTAACTCGCTTACCGGTAAGAACGCTACAGTTGACCGTCCACAATAAAAACTTCGAAGCACAGTTTTTTTCAACTACCAGCACGTCACATAGACAACTAGGAGATGTCGTTCAGAGAACTAAGCTGAGCGAGTTGATTTGGGGTCATTCAATCTCACACATAGCAAGAAACGCACAATGCATTGACATTAAACCAGAGCAGTCAGACTCCTTAATGTGACACCAATTCGCATCCCACTTTTTCACCTTTTTTGTACCAGAATTGTAAAGGTGGTCTATTTTTTGGCTGAAAGCTTGTATACAACTCGCTAAAGCTTGAATACAATACAGTCTACTTGAAGGCAGTTAACAAACAGTCCTCAGTGTCTCCTGCCAGGCTGGGTGATCTGATTGACTATCATTGAAGATGAAATCTAAACAAACTTAAATCGATGATTTTTGGCATTTCCGGGGTGTGTGAACCGCTTGGTACAGCGTTAGCACACGCCTTTCATGCGATCAGTCACGGATAGATCTGTGGATGTGTGCCACCGGTGAGTTCTAGCAAGAGAGTGAAATGGAGTCTGGTGTATGCTTGAGTGGAGGAACTAATTATTCAGCGTGAAGACGAAGTCTGAGAGATAGCCAGTACAAATTAGCTATGGAAAATTAATCAAAAGGTGACCTATGGATCATTTGCTTTCCTCAACGTTCTTTTAACTCTATCCCTTGGTGGTTTGGCTCAGATAACTTCAAAAAGAAAACGCCAAACAACCTCTAACGTACAACAGATACTGATGATACTGACAGTATAGCGAATGAGCTCTATTGGACGGATTTTTCATATTGCGTGATTTTGTCTCTATTCCAACACACGAGGTCTCCGGACGGCACCATTAAAGGACAAAATTCCTGCTGTTTCCACATTGCAGAAAGACGCCTTTATGGGTAGATTCTACAGTACCTCTGGGGCTAGCATGTCTGAATACATCCAAAAAACTCTACAGGCAATGGCTGAGCTTGACCAACGGAGTGTAAGCCCAACACGTGCGCTGATATCAGCGATCCTTTGCCAATTGATTGAAAATGGTCACATAATCAGTTCAACCCAAGTTAAATCTTAGCGATACACATCGGTTACGGATATTGGAGGCTTTATCGATCACCTACTTTCAGCGTTCCTCGTGCGTTTAAAATCGCTTGAACCTGCCTTGCTTTTAACCAATTGCCATAAAGTTCCTTTTGAACTGGTTTCAAGGTCGATCTGTGGAACTATTTCTATTGTCATTTACTTTCCGGATAGTCCATCAGAGACTGCTGATGATTAAAGCAACGGAAATCAGCAACATTTGAGAGGAGTTTGTTGGGAATATCTTGATGATTCGTGCAATAAATTATACAAGAGAACAATTTCCACGAACTCCATAAACCTTTTCAGGATGCAATAGTGAAACGACGAGCTAGATTGCATGTAATCAAATCACATACAGTCGGAAAATAAAATCGCTTCAAAAATTTCAGGTAGACTACCATTAAACATAGTGAAATACTGGTTTCGCTAAAATTGATCTATCATCGAAATGAGACGTTAATCATATTATGCTGTAAATGGCTACCTTCTAGAAAGTATTGCCTTGGGAAGCAATATGGATCAACTATGAAAACATCACAACTGCCTCGGAAATCAAGTAGGTAAATAAAAAGAAATCTATCGGATTTTTACAGCCAGCGCAATTGTTGAGGAAAATGTGCTAGAACATTATATATTAAACGCTGCCATATGTATATGGTATGCGTCTAAATAGTTCGAATTACCTAAATTCACTGGGAAATGAGGTGAGCTCGCATTGGCCACCATTTTGACAGGGATTCTGTGAACAGGCATGTTGCTCCTGCTGGCATCGTTTACCGTGATACGGGGCTGGACAGGTGCAGTGAAACTCCAGCTGTCCCTGGGCCACACACTGACCACCGTTAGCGCAAGGATTCAGCATACAAGGTAAACATTTTGCAGCCACAGCCAATGATTCCCGTTCCTCCGGACTCATACGTACCACTTCATCTGGGGCCACAGATCTTGCAGTCCACCAACCTGATTCGGGGATGGTTGTACCCATCTCTCCAGTAGAGTCATCCAAGAGCAGTGCAGTAGCCATGTCGTCTGAATGATTTTGACCTGTTCGCCGGATCCAAGGACAGACAAAATCTCCGGGTTTCGAGTGGTACAATGATTTGAATCGCATACTGTCCGGACTGTGACAAAGCGCGATTCCGTTATCCAAGAACTGCTGGCGGAAAAAGCTATTCAACCATTTACCGTTGCAATCACAATGAAGCGGATTCTGTCCCAATGCACTATAAAGTAAACAAAAAATGGTAATCAACGGTTTCACGAAAAATAATGAGTAAAGTTTGATTAGGCATAGCAATTTAAATACCCTTAAAAGAGTATTCCGGATTGATTACTTCTGTAAATCTACAATCTACGACGGAAAACTAGACAAAAATTTATTCTCCATCAAATGCCCAAGTATGGTCGGATTTGTGTTCCGACAGACGGATTTCACTGAATGATCTCTAATTACCCACACTAAAAGCTGTGAAAAAGAATCAGACTGCCTTCCCCCAGAAGTGTTACTGTGAAAGGTCAATCTCCGGAGCCATACACAGGTTCAAATAGTCATCGGCAACCATAGTTAACCCAGCGGAGTTGACTAACCCTGATTCCAAACTACTCATAGTAAAGTTTGTGAACTGACCCTAGGTATAGATAGAGTCAAGGGTTTGATTGAATACTGGGATACACTGGGCAGCCTAGAAAATGGAAGGCCATGCAAAAGGGCCTATGATTTAACCGACTGAACTTTTTCAGTGTGACGATTGCCTGCGGGCTAGAAACACCGTCCATGAGTTACAGTGCTCTATCAAAACATACGCACAAAATCTCATAGGATCAGGTGGCAAGCACCGGCAATTCGGTTGAGATAAAACTCAAACAGGATACTGGAGTAGTTGACTAATGGCTTTCAAATGCTTCTACCGGCATACAAGAATAAGAACTACCTGGATACGCGTAAACATCCAATCATTATATGAATCAGACATCTGGATCAAAACATTTTCTGGGCCCAATTGCTCCTTTTAACGTACATTCTAAATGACCACCATAAGTCCTCAATTGAAATTACTTCAACTACTTTGTCGGTGGTGGTGACTTCAAGCAAAGATACCACTTCTCAATCACCCTGTCAATAGACCAACGAAAATTATTCTTGCTACGCTGTGCATCAGTACTAGTTTGCATTGGTCTGCCCGGAACTTAGGTAGCTGCGTGATTAACAACGGAAGCGCATCGAATGAGATAACCGCTCGCATTTCCAAGGCTCGAGCAGAGTGCGCAAGACTAAAACACCTGTGGTGGTGACGTGACGTGTTACTGAAGTTGAATAGTTGCGTATACTGCTCCACCGTACGATCAGTTCTACATTACGGTTGTGAGACCTTGAATTTGCGGGTAGAAGACACCCGTCTTTTAGTAGTGTTCGACAATCGATGCTTACGTTGTCTTGTCTAGGTTGGATGGAGTAAGCGGGTTAGTAACTTAGAAGTAAGTCGTCGGGTGTTTGGGAATACATCAAACAAGAACTTGATATTGCATCGAATCCAGCTCAATAGGCTCCGTTGGTTAGGACACGTTTTGCGTATGTCCGATGGTCACCTACCACAGCGCGCCTTGTTTGCAGTGGCTGTTATAGGCTGGAGAAAGCCACGTAAGGGCCAGCAGATGACGTGGAGACGATACATGAAGAAATGGACAGAGCGATTAAGTGGAGTAGGTGTCTCGCGTCTTCCTGGCTGGGGTCCAAAAGACTCCGAAACCGCATCGTTGGAGACACTGAAGGTCATGGCTGCGAGCCGACATCAATGGCGATCATGCTGTCACTTCTTATCAGACCAGAATGCTTGAAATTGTGTGTATGCACCGTTGGGCTGTGTACTCTGTGTGTTGACCATAGAGGTTCGCTTTCTTTTCCCGTCCCTAAAAATAGACCCAATCCCTGTCCTCCTTACACATTCTCACTTATATTGTATGCATTATGAGTCTGGTAGCGATCAGTGAATTTCGCTTCACTGCATTACGCTGTACAATGATGATGACAATGCTGAGCCAAGAACCTCAGAAAAAGTATTTTAAGTATTTGATCGGGCTTTATTGCGGACGGGAGGAACTGCCCTGAAAGTCCATTCACTAATGAAACATTCATTCCGCCAGAAACTAAGTGAATGGTTTTTACTCCCCTTTATCGAAAATACCTTGCCCAATATTCACACAGCGGTACCGGAATGTCCATAATTAACGAAAATTTGAAAATCCATTTAATTTTCGTTCCTGACCGGATGCGGAAGAAGCATAGTGTCTTTGCACGGAACTATATATACCCACGTACAGATTATCTCAACGTCCACTGTTCTCATATTGTGGATTGTTGCGGCTTTGACCTAATTAGGACCACTGAAGTTAAATTTCAGTTTCGAAGTTTGCTTAGAACGGTTTAATCAGATGTACAAGTGGTAGTATAAACCTGGAATTTACTCAAATCCAGTTGCTAAACGAAACCAATTAACATGTGTTCGACTAGATGACAAGCTGTTCACTAAGTACCGTCATTGTGTTTTAGAACCTAAATATTGATCAGATTTATTTTGCAGATTCATGTTCTACTCGCGGGCCTTTCAAACCTCCCCCCCTCCCAGGTTGGTTGACTTCCACTAGTCTTCGGCTGCGCGCACGATTTACTGAACTGTACTTCCGATGCAATCACTCCCCTCAGGATGTTGAAAACCCAGTCAAGTGGATTTGCAACTGTGAGTAACGTAGATTTGGAGTAAAGCCACTTTTCGCCCCCATAATTTCAACCCATAATTTTGGAAGCAAACAAAAATGAAATGAAATAGAAAGCAGTGCAAGACTCACATGTTATTCAACTGTACCAGACCATTGAACGTCCCGTAAGGGATAGAGGAAATGTTGTTAGCTTGTAGAATCCTGAAAAACGGAGAGAAGGAAAGAGCAATTTTGGTACAAATGTACACGGATAGAACAATTCACACTTACAATACACGAAGACCGTTCAGTCCATTGAACGCATTCGGATGAATGCATTGAATTTCGTTGTGGCTGAGCACACTGCGAACGGAAAGATAGGGGGAGGGGGGAGGTTGAGTGAACAGAAATTGTTGTGGACAAGACATGTGTGGCAGGTCAACGGTTTATACTATGGACCATATCTTTGAATATGAGACACCAACTTACAGAGTCTTCAAATTCTTCAGTGTCTCAAACACATTTTCCGGTAGTTCGCGTATCTTGTTGTAGCTGAGAACTCTGGAATTCAATTGGGACAAAGAAGAGCAATGAGTGGTTCTAATTCCCCTGAAATCTTTCTGTTATAACACAGTAAACAGTGGTAGGTGACTCATACGCACGCTTAGAACGACATAGTATAAACTCTCGACGGAACAATGGTAGTGAGCTCATGAATATCGATTATCGGTTTAGTCTGTACGAATTTGTGTCTCATTCCTTGAGATTCCGCTTATTTTCAACAATTTTTACGCTGACCGACGAACAGTGATAAACAATGGTTCTGTTTTTGTTGGTCCTCGTTAAGCCTTCCGTCAGCTGTGTTCCACCGAGGGAAGTAGCACTGCAAACTCTCGTTTTGGAAGCCGTACGCTTATGCATTTTGTTGTTGGTTGTGCCACTGAACGGTTAGAGCCACGCCTACAAATCCATAAGTACAGTGACAAAAAAAATATGCACTGCTGACGAGTAACAAAGACATACTAATAGTGACAAAGATTATCTGTGATACAACAGCGGTTCAAGCTAACGGTTAATGCATAATATGCACTACATTTTTCACACGTGCCGTGATATGAGACACTTAAGGAGGGGTAAATTTCAATGTTTGATGGGCTTATGTGTGGTTACGAGAATGGTCTATTGGAGCCACGGAGCTCGGAGTATCTAATCACTAGATATCTCATTCTGAAAGGTGAAAGTAAAGGTGTCTACCACCAGGATGGTCTAGCGGTGGTGTTGGCGGTGATGGAGGTACTCGGACACGTTTTGAACGAAGTAGTCTAGTTTAGGGACCACGACCAAGGCCGTATCGCTGTTGTTTTGAATAAACGGAAAAGAAATTTGTCTGAGTAAGCCCCAGAACACAAGTTTTCTGCAAGCAGCTGAGCGCTCTTTCATCGGTGTCACTATTTCAAAACGATCCCAGGGATCCATATGTCAAATACTTTCACTATCAACGAAGTTTGCCGGTACAGAGCTTTTCCATTGCCGGGTTCCACAACAGTCCTATATTTTCAGGAACCTTAAGTGTTTTGCCATCCCAAGTCTCGGGATCAGGTGACCGGTTTGCACAACCGAATAATAAATCCTTGTGGCTGCGGCGTTCATCCAATCTGTTGCCCATTAGATACCAACGTGTCATGAAAAGGAATCAAAGCAACGCAGACTATCGGTTGCTAGTTCTTATAACTCCTTGCTTATCGAAACATGCCATGACTGTCAGTTATTTCTAGGAGAGTGCAACTTACAGTGTATGAAGCTTGCTCAAATGTCCTATTCGATTCGGATCCAAAGTTTTGATCTGATTTCGTCCGAGATACCTGTCGGTCAAAGGATGCCGAAAGTGTTTTGAGTGCACAATGTGAAACTAATAAAATATATTCTACTCCTCTTCAAATTTAGTAGCATGTACAAGAATGCATGAATATTGTTTTATTGCGATGCGGGGAAATTCACTCACGTTGAATTGCGCACGATTACAAGAAAAGTAGAATGAAACTAAATTTTATGGTAAAAATTCTTTTGAATACTGTTTCAGTTGGTAAGATCTATCAAGGGGAATTTGCGCAACTACGAATTTCAATTCAAATCATTGGGTAGAATTACAGAGTTTTTTTCATCGCCTCTTATAAAACGGCTTTTCTGTGATAAGGAAAAGACCTAAATGAATGGCAAGTGAAACGATGTTAAACGACAATCGATGATCATCAAGGCGGATACTTAGTGCTTGAATCGGTTGCATGGCGAGGTTATTCTGGGAAGCAAGAGCTGTTGTGAGACGTGGTTAGCATTGAAGGAACTCTGTGACACACTTGAGAATTCATTTCCCGACGTGGAAGAAATAAATCGACAATCTTCTGCTTCATCTGGTTCCAGGGCAGTACCTGCCGCTTTCAGCTCCCCTGAAAACACCAACCCTGTTTCACCGAACGACGTTTTCAACGTTTTGAAGCAGCCTAAGTAGCAAAAAGCCCATGTACGTTTCTCATTAGCCCAGTTTTATTAAAAACCTGTGCCTAACACCTTGCAACAGCCACTGCTGAGTTATTCTATTTCTATATTTCCTTGGAACAATCCCGGATTGCTTGAGGACTGCCCGGATAAGACCAAGAATGGTTCCAAGAATGGTACTTCAAAATACTGACCGATTACTTGTACCTCAGCCTCGATGAGTCTTTGAGAGAGTGCTGTTCAAACGGATGACTACCCTATCTGATATTCTCTATCCTCGTCAATGAGCTTATAAACATTCACTTTAGACTTTGAAGCCCCTGATTATGTTATTCATTCCGTAGTTTCATTTTCAGATAGGAGTGCTCGAGCTCTTCGCCTCACTTTCCTTGCTTGTCCCAATATCTTTGGTTCGCTTGATCGTCGCACATCCCCTTTCAACATCTTGCTGACAGTGGATAAGAATCAACATGTTAATCGTTCTTGTAAACTACTTCGCATCTAGGACACAATTTACTACATTCAATGGTAAAACTTCATCCTCTTCTTACGCTCACTGGTGTCTTTCAGGGTCTCATTTTGTCTCCATTCTTTTTTCTCCTTAAATAAACAACCTGCACGTAACTACAAACTTTATGATCTGTAAGTATGTTGACGATGGGGTGATCGGGTGCCCCTCCAATAATCATTCATCTTTCCACCAACTTCAAGACGGTTGAACAATGCTTTCATTTGGTCCCTTCTCCGATTGCTTATGTTTAATGTTTCCAAATGTGTTGATGTTCCCTTCAATCTTGTATCTGGTTCCGTCATCAAATTAATTTTATTACTTCACTTGGCTCGTCGTTTACAGTCCCACATCCACTCTGTTAAATACCTCGGCATCGTTCTATCCCACAATCTCTCCTGGACTAGGCATGTGCAGAACGTTACCAAAAGGGCTCGTGAACTTTCTCTTTATGCTTTCAGGTTTGAGAAGCTTGCTGTTCCCCCAAATGTGGTGATCAGATTTGTGTTCGCATGCATTCTTCCCCTGTATTTTGTCATATTAAATTTTCATATTAAATTCCAGATCCATAAAACTCCTTTCCCGGTGTAGTGGGACAGCCAACAATGCACCACGAACTTCTTAAATCCCTGTCAAACACATGCACCGCCACATACAGAGCAGGCACCCGTCCTTATTTTGACCATTTTATAATGAACCGGGCACCAATTATTACAGGTCTAGTGGAACAACTCGAGTTAATTTTTTTTTAACTATTACTCTCATCTTCGTACTCGCAGTGCGCTGTCGTTTTGTTTAACCTCTTCACACTCATTTGTGCTTTTTCCATTTCCATTGTATTCTCATTAAAATCGCTAAACATTTACCTGTCGGGTGCAAACAGCTTACTTCAATAAGACTGGAATTGAATTAAAACTTGAGGAAAATGAGTTTTCAGAAACGGAGCATGACATACAGGTGCTCAAAAGAAAACTCTATTACCATAGAGTATAGTTCCCAGCGGTAAGATTCCTTTGTTAGAATACATGATCATCGTCCTGGCTCAGGTTGGTGGGATAGATTGGAAGGACTTTGTTTATAAACCAGTGATTTCCCACTTTCTGCTAATTGAACTAAACCAATTTAAGATATTTGTGATCGTTTTGGAGTGTGATGGATGACTCAACAACCAATAACCCGAAATAAGTTTAACAGGAGGATTTTTCAATGTGATCAGTTGAAAAATTGCACAGAAAAATAATAAAATGTTTCGCGAAATTCACATGCTTTCATTTCATCATTTGAGGATTTACTTCTAGGATTCCAGATGAAGAAGAAAGCATCGATAAAATCCTAACATCATTTGGTCCCGATGTGTTAAAAAAAGAAAGCATCAAATTTCAGTTATTCTGATTACAGTTCTTTAAAAGAAAACAAGACTATTTTCTGAAAAAAAACACAATTGGCAAATCCATTTTACCTCACAAAGTAACACTCCAATATCAGGAGGTCTGTATTTTCAAAGCGAGTATTCCAAAAAACCTAAACAACACCATTGGATGTGACCAAATTAATTTAAGTCTGTCTATGTTCTCATGCAAATGTATTTGTGGATTGAACAGATGATCTATTGTAATACATGTGCATAAAGGTACACAATGAAAGATACTCGGGCGTTGCAGCTCAGTGGTTACTAATTCTCGGTGCAATCGAATGCAAAATATATACATTTCTGCAACTATCGAGTAGAACAGCAAAACTTGTGTCAATATACTGAATAAGACGTCATGTAATCCTCAGTGTGGAATGTGTACGCAATTGAGAGGTCATCTGGTTTCAGAAATACCCCCTCTCTACTTGTCCGGGAACTCCCCGATCGATCGGCTTCGAAAAGATGAAAGTATACAATTGATGGGCCACTGTCCTTATTATAGCATTGTAGCTTTTGTGTTTACCAATTATTAAAGTTGCATTGTCGCATTTTGATACTTCATTTGAACAATTAAATATACCCGACAAGTTCAAGGTGATATTCTCCACACAAAGAAATTATAGATACTGAATGGCGATTTGGGTATAACGTGCGGCTTTTATCCAGCTGTTGCACTCACAACCGTATTCAAACAATCATGAAAAGTTACTAGACTGACACATTTTTGACAGTTCAGTTTGCCACAACGTATGGAGATCAGGTGAGTCAATTTAAACGACCATCGCTTACAACTGCGTGGTTTCCGGAGGAATTGCCAAGGGAATTTCCATCAGACCCAGATCGGAACAATAGACACCATCTGCTTCACACGTGCATCCAGTTGGACAGCCGAATCGTGGTGGAGACAATGCTGATTGTGCGCGAGATGTTTCAAAGGGGATACAGACAAAGGGTATAAAATGAACTTAGTATTTGTACGATAATTCCAATTTGAACGAACAACAAAGGTGATAGTTCAAGGGGAAGGAAAGGGGTCGTTTAAGAATTGTTGCAATATATCCACCCGACCAATACAGACGTACGCTCATCTTAAGAACTGATTGAGTAAAACAACTTCAAGAACTGAAGAATGTAGAGATTGCGGAGTTCTGCTTTTCCGACCCACACTATGAATTATCTTGACCATTGTGACCAAAGAACAGTCACAGTAATGGTGCGATTTCAACCAGAAATCGATCACATCAACTATCAACGTTGATTCCGAACAAATTCTCATCCAGCAGACAGAATAAGGAGTGCTTTTTTACCATAATAGACTGATGTGGGTAAGACTGCGACACTGATAAGGGTGAACGAATAATGTCCGCTACTCATGCTCTCTCCTCGTCCAAATACGACTATTGACAGCTGTCCTAACCCGATTGCAATTGACCGACCGACATTGATTGTTACCGCGCGTACAAGCATGCAAGCTACACTGATTTTGCCTGTGCTATGATTGATTTGCTCCAACCAGGCTTCAGTATTGTGCCGAGCAATTCGCTGAGCAATTCCAGCTTAATTGTCCTTACCTCGAGTGCATGTATTGTTCTTCTCGGTTCGCGTGTGTACGAATGCACTCCTTAGTTTGCTGAGGTGATAAAGCATTTCAATCGAAGAAATTACTCACCGAATACATTCTCTCTTACAATTATGTATTCATCAGAAGGCACTATTGTTGAGTAAAGTTAGGCGGATGCCCCCCTGCCACTCATGTACCGAATTGATTTTCTTTACGAATAGAATGAAACTAGTCCATTTGATTCGGTTATACGATGCGAAAATAACGACCCTACTGGACTGTCACTGATTGAAAAGTCATGTGAAATATTCGGGCTAGCTAATCCGCGAGTGAACATTATTCCCAATCTGTTCTCATAGCATCATTCACCTTGTCCAAATAGTCGCACATGGGAAAGCAAAGTGCTAAAGATAAGTGAATAAAAATGAACCAATCGCGTTTTGCTCTACTGACAGCTAACCCAATCAGTAACTTTGTTTATTCGATTGAGTATCCAGTGATAAACACATTCGGCGTGTGAACTGGAAAAGTCAGTAGATCTTTTTGAAATTAGAATAAATAATCATATTCAATTAAGACGATAAAAATAGCTTTTGTTCAATCTTCTCCAGAGTTATCTGAAAACACTTGCTCCCAGCTAAAAAGAAATCTGATCGTTGACGAGGGAGGTTAAATGCTTAACGACTTTACTAGAGTGAAC